GACACACACACACACACACACACTCACACACACGGGCTCAGGGACCCCGACACACACACACACTCACACACTCAGGCTCAGGGGACCCAGACACACACACACACTCACACACACACACCCGGGCTCAGGGGCCCAGACACACACGCGCGCGCACACACACACACACACACACACAGGCTCAGGGGCCCAGACACACACACACACACACTCACACACACACTCAGGCTCAGGGGCCCAGACACACACACACTCACACACACATACTGGGGCTCAGGGGCCCCAGCACACACACACACACACACACACACACACACACACACACACCCGGGCTCAGGGACCCCCCCCCACACACACCTGGGCTCAGGGCCCTGACACACATACACACACACGGGCTCAGGGGCCCCGACCCACACACACTCACACACACACACACACACACACACACACACACAAGGGCTCAGGGGCCCCAGACACACACACACACACACACACACACACACTCAGGCTCAGGGGCCCCGACCCACACACACACACACACACACACACACACACGCTCAGGCTCAGGGGCCCCGACCCCCACACACACACACACACACACACACAGACACTCAGGCTCAGGGGCCCCAACACTCACACACACACACACACACACACACTCACACACACGGGCTCAGGGGCCCCGACCCACACACACACACTCACACACACACACACACACAGACACTCAGGCTCAGGGGCCCCGACACTCACACACACACAGGCTCAGGGCCCTGACACACACACACACACACACACACACACGGGCTCAGGGGCCCCAACACACACACACACACACACACACTCACACACAGACACACACACTCACACACACGGGCTCAGGGGCCCCGACCCCCCCCCCCACACACACCCGGGCTCAGGGGCCCCGACCCACACAAGCTCGCCGCGCACACGTGCTCCCTGCCGCCTCCCCGCCCCCCCCCGCCACCTTGGGCTCGCACACATGAACCCCTATTCTGTCTGCGAGCCCCCAGGGCAGTGCCGGGCGTCATCGGGGCGCCCCGGCTGCTCGCGGACTGCCCCTTGCTGGCCATCGCACGGCCAGAGCCAGCTCCTGCCGCCCAGCCCGCCGGAGTGGGGTGCTGCTGGCCCGTCCGGCGGCCGTGGACACGCCCTGGGGCTGGGCCGGCCGCCGCAGGCCAAGACCTGGAGACGAGCCCACGGCCCCCGCGCCAGGGCCACCCCCTCCCTGACCGTCCCCGCACAGGAGGCCGCCGGCCGTCCCTCCGCGCCCAGCCCGCGAGCCGTCCTCCGATGGCCTCCCGTGCAGGAAGAGATGTCCTGGGCTCGAGCGAGCAAAAGGCGTTTGCCTGCCGCAGTCACTGGGGCGTCCCCGAAGCGGGGAGCAGGGGGCGTGCAGGCAGGGCGGGGACGTCCACCCCAGCCCCCCGGCGCACCCAGCGCGGGGAGCGGAGCCCTGAGGACAGGGCTGGGCGGCGGTCAGCAGGCCCGGGGTGGCGGTGTGGGCCGTGGCCAGTGGTGAGCGCGACCCCTCCGTGTCCTGGTCCAAAAATAGCCGCTGTTGCTAGCGGACGCGTCCATTGTTAGCCGGAGACCGGGCGTGGACGCTTCATCGGAGCCGCCTCTGCGGCGGCGGCAGGGCTGGGCGTGCCTGAAGGACGCAGGGGCACGGTCTTGGCGGAGGGGCGTTTCCTGGCGCGGGGGGACCCGGGGTGTGTGGGCGGCAGCGA